CCCTGCCAGCCGGGTCTCTCAGTGCGGCTCCCTCTCCCTGGCTGCTGCTGCTTCTGCCATGCACAGCGTTCTCAGGTGGGCGGGGAGGACACCTTGGCATCACATGATGTCACAGTCCAGGAATTTAAAAGTGCTCAGCACGGTGTGGCCTAGCAGCTCCGGGTTTGGAGTGCGGGGCCCGAGTGCAGACTCCGGCCCTGCAAAGTGGAAGGCAGAAAGTAAGGGAGTGGGAAAACTAGGAGAAGGGGATGGGAGAGGAAGGGGCTTGTGTGGAGGGGGAGAGGGGTGAGAGGAAGGGTCTTGTGCGGAGGGGGAGGGGGAAGGGGGCAGAGGAAGGCACCAAGAGACAGGGTGGAGGAGAGACAAATGCCAGGGGGCCAAGTGCAGACCATGAGGGAAAGGGCAGGAGGGGAGGTGTCAGTGGGAGGGGGGACAGGGTGATGCTGGGAGAAGAGAGAAGAGGGTCCCCGTGTCAAAAAGTTTGGGAACCCCTGTCTTAAGGGATGTTGTCAGGTAGTTCAGCTGCCTTTTGCAATGTTATTCATTGAAAATAAGTATGGGGCTGTGTCCACCTCTTGCTACACTCGCCAACTGCCTGATGACATCATTCTGTTGCATGGCAGGAAAATGTTATATATAATTTCGAGATGACTAAGCTAAAACTTTTCCCTGCAGGATCTCAATACTGAAACTGACCAATCCAGTCATGATTGTTGCTTAGATTTTTTTTTTAAGCTTAATCAACTAGAATATTAACATAGTGTTGTTGTGGCTTTTTTTGTTTAATTTTTTTTTTTTTTTTTTTTTGGCAATCTGAAATGCTATTTTTAGTAGAGATTTAACCTGTGTTTCTTCAAATTGAGGTTTTGGATTTATTTTATCTTGACAGTGTACTTCCTTTAAATCAACACGTCTTGGAGGTTGGTGAAGTGGAGAAAATGGCGTCAGAGGACATTACTAAGCTAGCAGAGTCACTTGCCAAAGCTCAAGTGGGTGGAGGGCAACTGAGTTTCGCAGGCAAGAGCCTAAAACTCAACACTGCTGAAGATGGTAAGAAGAAACATTGTTGGGGCAGTGTCTCCCCTGGGATGAGTGGTGATGCTATCCCAAAGTTGTGTGTCATGAACTTCTTCCTAACCAAAGGTGTCTTGACACCGCTAATTTCAATGTGTGAGAATCTACGTCAGTGGTGGGCAATCATTTTTTGATGGGAGGGCACTACAAGAATTTGGTAAAAGGTCACAGGCTTCACTTTTCTACACTGTTAATGGAGGAGTGCAGGGTCTGGGATGGCGGTTGAATGCAGAAGGGAGCTAGGGGATTGGGATGTAGGATTGGGGATGGAGTTTGGGTGAAGGAGGGGGCTGTGACCTGGGTCAAGAAGTTGGGAGTATGAGAGGGTGGGGTGCCAGGTGCAGGCTCTGGCTGGGATGTGCTTACCATAGATGGCTCCTGGCTGGCAGCCCAGCAGGACCCTCAGGCGGGCTCCCTGGTTGCTGCAGTCCCACAAGTCACTGAAAACAGCTGGCTGGTAGGACAAGAGTGTGTCTTTCTGCGTTGCATGTCACTTGAGGGACAGAGGGGTTTCCGTGTACTTCCTGCACAGGCAAAAACGGCTCCTGCAGCTCTTATTGGCCACTTTCTGGTCAGTGGATGCTGCAAGGATTGTGCTGCAGAAGGGGGCAATGCACAGAGATCTCTACCCCTCAAGGGGCATGCCTCTTGGAGACATACACTCTGGCCCCAGCGGCCAGCTGCTTTGAGCAGTGTGTGTGGACACGGCAGCATGGGAGCCTGTCTGAGGGTCCTGCTGGGCCATGGGATGTTAGTGGCCTGAGAATCATGGCAAGCCAGATCCTAATGTTTGGTGAGCTGGACCTGGCCCACAGGCCATATTTTACCCCCTTCTGGTCTATGTAATGTGGCAGGGGGGTGCCAGGGTCAGCCATCTGAGAAATGGGACTTCTGATAGTGAGGCAACCACTTCCCACCTTTCCCCCAACACACTAGTCTAGCATCACTGCTACAGCTGGAGAAACTGATTTTGATTCTCCCTGATAGTTGTCAGGTTTTTTTTTTTGTTCTGGGAGTGATGATTGTCCTTACACGCACATTGATGCTTTAAATTGCTAGAGAATTTCCTCCTACTCTATAAATGCTTCAGAAAGACTAGTAACTTTCGGAATGATTGAAATGCCAAGGGATACTATCAATACCTTACAAGCTCTGGTCAGGGCTCACCTGCCTGCCTGTGCAATCCTCTTCTCTCTAAGATAGAGTGCTTCAGTTCTTGGCTCAGTCCCAGACAGCTTCTTGTTTGCTTGGAGTGCTCTTCCCCCTGTACACCTCTTTAGGATAAAGCATTTGCTGGGGTAGTGATGTCTTTGTCTTGCAATGGCAGTTGGGGGAATAAATCCCTGAAGCACATAAGAATTTTATTCTGTACTGCACACCTGGAAATAGATTGTACTCAAAACTGACTGATATTTCCCACTAATTTTCATAAGAATCATCTTTCTTTCCCTCTTTGGAAGTGCAAAACCATGTTAGTTGTGGTTAAAAGTCCCGGAGGCTGGAGAAAATAAATAGTGATGGGAAGAGAGACTCTTCAGCCTGCCCTCGTACGGTGTTAACTTTTCTCTCTTGTCTCAACTATGCTTGCTCTGTGCAGCCAAAGAGGTGTCTAAGGAAATCGAGGAATTTGATGGCTTGGAAGCCCTGCGCTTAGAAGGCAACACAGTGGGTGTGGAGGCAGCAAAGGTCATTGCCAAAGCCCTGGAGAAAAAAGCTGAGCTCAAGGTGAGATCTTCTAGTAGTACAGAAGGGGAAGATAGGAAATATTGATGAGATGCTGAAGGTCGGTCTATTTTTGAGCACTGATCCTGGACATGTCCCTGCAGGAGTAATACAACCTTCAAATTCTTTCCTTGTCCCACTAGCAGATAAGAATAGACCCAGGAATACTAAGCTTGTGTATGAATAAGGGATAGCGAACCCTCAGGACATCATAAGTTGGCTTAACACTTGCTGAAATGCTGCATATCAGCCATAGGCGATTCTCCATAGCTGAAATAAGAAAGTCATGAGAGAGGTCTCACACCTGCGTTGTCCTGTGTAAACTGGAGGGGAGCCCTCCGGTAATGCAGTGTGGCCTCTTAGGGTTGTGATCTCATCAGATCTTTCCTACTTGGGAAAGACTTTAAGCAAAACTCTAAATGCTGGAGGAAATAGCAATGGAGGTTCATCAGGATGCTCTCTCTCCCTTGAAATACTCTTGCTTAGCGTTGAGGAGAGTACTGTGCCATGGCAATGGTAACTCTCAATGAAACATAAACCAGAGGCCTTGACCACTCGTGGTTGCTGAGGTTTCTAACATCAGTCTCATAAGTTTAGGCTCCCATATCCTGACGAAATTCTCATTCTGTATCCTTCAGTTTCCACTGTATGTGGTAATCTTCTCTTATGTCCCTAGTTCTTGTGGTATTGCTGTGCACTATTAAACAGTCGCTGAATTCTACCCCAGAAATGATGGTGTTCCGTGGTGAGTGAAGTAAACTATATAGCTCTTTTTGGTACAATGAGGAGAGGCACAAAAAGTGTAAGCTCTAATATATCAATTCCCCTGTGGAGTGCAGGAGGTTACGGGACCTTTGCGTATGCAGCTGATTTGACGGTCATATCCTCTTTTCTTCTCTCTCTTTAGAGGTGTCACTGGAGTGACATGTTCACAGGGAGACTGAAATCTGAGATCCCTTTTGCTCTGGTAAGTGGGAGAACTGGGTCTGAAGCCTGACTTGTGATTAGTCTTCCCTCCATCCTTGTGTTTACATTGAAACTGTACATCTTTTCCATGGATCAATATACTGTTAGAGACCCATATTCAAGCATAACTTTGCTGATAAAGCATGAGCATGTATGGATTTCCCTCTCCCCTCTATCTCTGGGATGATGGGCAGGAGGCAATTGTATAAGTACTTTCTAGCTGATCTCCTGAAAAGCAGCTCTTCCTTGGAGGAATAACAATATGGGTAGGAATCAAGAACTCCAGAATAAAAGGATACCCTTTTGAAGGCGCAACAATCAGAATGATCCTGAGGTGAATCATGAGGTGTCTTCTGTGATCTTATAATCAAAAAATATTGCTCCTTTAAGTAACCTATATTTGCATCTGTGAAACTTGGTGCTTGGGCAGGTCTCTGAAATGTGTATGGCTCCTGCAGCCTTCGTTTAAAAAGGTCTGGATAACTTCATGGTCTCTAGTACTTACAGCTGTGCAAATTCAGCTAACCGCATCAAATCTCATGCTTGAGGGCGCAACCAAACTGCGTTGGCAATCGGAAAAGATTCCCTCTCCTTTGTGGAGCATTGCGTAATGTACGGTGTGCACTGGAGATGAGCTCTTTCTTCTGAAGCATAGGCTTATGGTCTAGATGGGCCTGTGGAGCTATGTTAATAAAAACCAAATCCTTTTGTCTCCTCACAGATTGCCCTTGGAGAGGCACTCATCACCGCAGGTTCCCAGCTGGTGGAGTTGGACCTGAGTGACAATGCCTTTGGGCCAGATGGGGTACGGGGCTTTGAGGCACTGCTGAAGAGTCCTGCCTGTTTCACTTTGCAGGAGCTCAAGTTGAACAACTGTGGCATGGGCATTGGAGGTGGCAAGGTGAGCGACGCTTCTCAATCCCTCCTCTCTTGCATTTGTCATTCCTTAAAGACTGGGTGCTGGAGGCTAGGGGTCCAACTTGTCTTGATTGCCATCATACTGATCTCATGACATGTCGAAGATGCAAGTTGGCCTATCCCAATACCTGGACAAGAGAATGATGTTCTTCTGTCCACGCCCAGTGCCTGAGTCTGGCTGTAATGGAGGGTGTTCTTTGACGTGTGAAACCAAAGCCTTGCCAATTCATAGTCACTGAAGAGCCAGAGTTGTTTCCCCGAATTCTGTTTAGACATGGTAACAGGATTATTGCATTTTCATGATGTAAAATTCCCTCTCAAGTGACTCCACTGTTAATGTTATGTAAAGTTGGTGGTATAGAATGGTTCCTGTGCCCCACAACAGAAGCACCTTCACTTCAGTGGTGTCCTAAATGTTCCCTATATATCGAGTTCATAAACCATTTCTGGGATGCTATAGTAATGTAAAGCTGTTAATGTCCTCTCTAGATCTTAGCTGCTGCCGGGCAAACCTCTTGCTTTGAAAATATTTGTGGCTGGCAGGAACAGTCTGGAGAATGACGGTGCAACTGCACTGGCTGAGGCATTTGGGGTAAGCTTCAAAGCAGGAATTCTTCAGAGGGGGACATAGATGTGTCAGATATGTGTGGGTGCTGGTTCTGGTAGTCATGGGTGAGCAGTGTGTATTTAGACCCGCATGCTGAAGAAACAAGCATTGAGGAGAATTGTGTGCATAAAGTACTGGCCGTTGGTACATCTTTTCCAGAGCAATCTGTGTGCTGCTAAAACAGTCAAGCATTTTGAGGATGTTAACACCAAGAAAAGGAGAGGACTTGTTTAGAGGAGGCCTAACAGAGGAATGGGATAAAACTGAGCACAGAAAACATAGGATGCATTTCCATCCCGAATACCCCATACTATAACCTGCTAATTGTTGGGTGAAGTGATGTGTCGCTTGAGCACCTTAATACTGGACAGAATAAATGGTGCAGCTGGAGATTAATGTGGCCCTGAGAGGAGCTGGAGCAGATGACCAGTTAGGTCTCTATCTCTAATCACTGACTGGTAAAAGCCAGTGCTTTTTTGTGATGGCATGCACCGGTACAGCGTACCGTCACCTTTTTTGGGGAGCACTTGCTTTTCTCCAACAAAGCTGGCCCTGGGAGCACTTGTAAAAAAAGCACTGGTAAAAGCTATGTCTGAGCCAGCTATCTCCCACAAATCTCCTGTATGGAGCTTTCCTGTCTGGTGCCTCTCTTCTTCCCTTAGCCCTGGTTCTGTTCAAGCTATTAGTACTGCATTTGGGTGGGGGAATGGAAATTGTGTTGTCTGATGTCCACCTTTCTATCCAGCGAGCATGAATGAGATTGGAATCTGAGTTAGACTTGTGGTAGCTTTTGGGGTCTAAGGAATGAGGAGTCTTCACCTTTCCTCACCAGCAAACCTTACATTGCCTTCCCCTTTCCTCATGTGGCCTCCGTGTCCTAGATCCTTTGTGCCTGACCTCTGGTCACTGAGTGCCTTTCAGCTAAAAAGCCCATAATGATTATATACAGATCTGGCAAAAATTAAGGATTTAAATTCAGTGCCTGGCAACTTGGTACGCTTTCTGGAAAGCTGATGCTCTCCTGAAAGACTTGATGCCCTCTGAAAGCTCTTCTGAACAGAAAGTGTCTGTCTTCATCTTGTCTTTCAGCCAGGAGTGCTAAGTAGGGGTGGTGTCCATGAAGGGACTAGGTGTCGCAACACATACACCTAATTTTTAGATGCCTAGACAGTCACGGGAACAGCACAGCATTCCACAAAACCAAATTGGGAACCCAGGCCACTAACACAATGACTGGGGGAGTCAGGAGCCTAAGAATGTGATCCATAAAAGCAAATGCCCTATGAAACAACGATGATACAATAACTCCTTGTGTAAAGTTGTAGTAATGTTCGTGAAAAATTCTGCTTTAAGCAAAACTGTTAAGCGACTCCATTAATTTCACCATAAAAATTAATGAAAATGTGCCGGGGGGGCAGGGTTGGCTACTGTGAACTTCATTTTTTTAGCAGACAAAAGGCAGTCTAGGCAGTATATGCATAAATGTGCCGGGGGGGCAGGGTTGGCTACTGTGAACTTCATTTTTTTTAGCAGACAAAAGGCAGTATAGGCAGTATATGTATAAAGTGTTTAATGCTTATACTATGTAATACTGTACACAACAATGATTGTGAAGTTGGTTGAGATACATGTAAACATGGTAATGTAACCTCCTGCTGTAGAGCAGGGGTAGGAAACTTTTTTTGGGGGGGTCGGGAGCCACACACAAGTAAGAATCCCCTGGCTTAAGAAGAAAGACACTCCCCACATTCCCCTTGCACACCAGAGCCTAGTGGGGCCTCGTGGGATCCAGGCTAGTAGATTTTGTGTGCTCCAGCCCACGGGGGGCTGGAGTGCCAGCATGGGATCCCCAATACTAAGCCTCTGGAGCTGGATCCAGGGAAGCCAGCAGTTACATCCAACCCCTGGCCCTGAGGTTCCCCACCCCAGCTCTAGAGGCAGCATAGACTGAAGCAGAAGGGAGGAAATACAATAGATACATGGCAATGGCTTTAAACAGTTCCCTGTAGAAACTGAACATGATGATGAACCCACCCTGTCCCATTGGAGTGCACCAGTCTCGCCTGTAGATGATGCCATGTATGGTTGTACAATGCCAAGGACTGTTTGTGTGTGGCTATATGGATCTTTGGTCTGACCTAGAGTGGTCGTTCTGATGTTCACATACAACCCTAATGTATCTGTCCCTGCTGTAACCCACAAGATGCCACTCCTCTCCTAGTGCTGAGTTAGAACCCAGGGCTATGCCTACACTGCCAGCTTCTTGCGCAATAACTCTTTTGCGCAGGAGTTCTTGTGAAAAAGGTCTTCCACAAAAGCGCATCCACACTACCATGTGTTTTTGCGCAAGAGAGTCCCTGGCAGTGGGGACGCTCTCTTGTGCAAGAAAGCTCTGATGGCCATGCCGAGCGTCCACACTGCCCTCTTGTGCAAGAGCACCTGCACAAAAGGGCTTACACCTGATAAAAAAGAGCGTAGCTCTTGCGCAAGAAGCCCTCGCTTACTACGCTGTACTATAAATTTCCTTGCGCAAGTGTGGGTGGGCTGTGGGGACGCTCTGCAGTTTCTTGCGCAAGGACGGCCATACTTGCACAAGAAGCTGTGAGTGTAGACATAGCCTAGGGGTGTGGGCTACACGTGCTAGGGATGTAATAGTGTAGTCAATTAACTGGTTAATGGATAAGCAAAACCTTATAAGTTAATGCTATAGACTGTTAGTCAATGGCAAAACTCCCATTAACTTTGATGTGGCCCATTTTTCACTCTGAGTAGTTCTGTTGTAGTGATTGCAGGATTGGAGCTTTAAGGTTTTACTCCTTACAAGCCAATATTCACACAGCAAGATAATCTCAAAACAATATTGTTTTCAGTCACCAAATTCTATTTTTATTTTGAATATAACGTCTTGAATTTCTTCCAGATAGCCAATAATTTATGCATTTCCCACCCCCTACCCTTACTAGTACATTTTTTAGCAGGCTGGCCAGCAGCCTGGCTCAGTTCTGGCTCATGCCAGATCTATAACCTACCCTTAGCTTGCACCGCATTGGCTGCTGGCTCCACCCCCGTGGACTATAGAATAGTCAACTAACCGATAAAAATTTGAGGTCATGTGACTATTCAATTAACCGATATTTAACATCCCTAGTGTGTTCTAGAGAGAGGGAGTGCATTGTGGGGATTTAATAGCGTAGTCAATTAAATGATAAGCAGATGCTTATCAGTTAATGCTAAGCTACATGTATTTTCCTCTCCCCACCAGTACCCCCTCCCCACCAGTAATTTTTTAGTGACCAGAAAATTCAGCCACAGCAGTCTAGCTGTGATATCCTGCTTTAAGGGGGGGGGGGGGGAGCATTGGCACCCTCTTCCCCCTCCTAGCAATCAGGAGGCTCCTGGAAGCAGCTCCAAGGCAGAGGGTGGGAGGGGCAGCTGAACTGCAGCTTCCCAGCTGCATACCTTATAGCAGGGATGGGGAAGCCTGTGGCTTGCTTTCATCCAGCCTGCAAGGCTCAAATCACCTCCATCCTCAGCAACACAGTGGGATGAGGCAATACTGGCACTCCAGCCACACACCAGATCTCTGAGCCTCAGCACTCCCCATGTGTCTGGAGCTTCAGTGCTATCTCCTCACTATGGGGAGAGGGAACCCTGAGCTTCTCAGGCTGGGTGAAGGGAAGCCATAGGCTGCATCTGGCCCCCAGGCTCTTCCTGGCAGCAGGAAAGAAGCAGCTCCCTATGGCAGCACAGGGAAGCTCTCTCCCTGTGCTGCTTGCAGGCTCCACTCCTGTCATTCCCATTGGCTGGGGATAGTGGCCAGTGGGAGCAACAGGGGAGCTCCACCTGCAAGAATAGTGGTGCAGCGCTGCTAGTGCCCCCAGGAGCTATGCCAGGTAGGCATCCCAATTGCCCATCCTCAGCCTGCTCCTGCACACCCCCCACTCCTTCTCAGACCCAGCACCCCCAACCTGCACCCTCCCTCTTGCTCAGACCACCCCCACCCTGAGCCTGCTCCTCAGCAGCTTCTCCTGCACACTGAACCCCTCATTTTTGTCCCTATCCTACTACCTGGGGGGGCCCACAATCTACTAGTTCCAGGCCCCAGAAAATTAATCCAGCCCTGATGAGAAACCCTGAGCCTCAACGCTCCCCTGCCTTGTGACATTAGGTGTCTATTTTTTTTCCCCCCCTGCATCTCAGTTGGGGCCATGTCGGTGAAGGTGTATTTTTTTTTTTTTTTCCCTTTTCCTTCTCACGTGTGTGTGTGTGTGTGTGCGTGCCTCCCCACGACTGATTTTTATTTTCATGGTGGGTCAGTGGCCCCTAACCCAACAAAGGTTCCCTACTTTCCCCTTAGAAGGAACTTAGTGGAGCTGTTGGGGAGGGGCATGCAGCCCCCAATGCTTCAAAGCCCCCATAAGGCCAGGCTGCTTTTCCAGAAAATCCTGCAAGTAGTGGACAAAGCAGACAGCTAAACAAGGTTATCAGAGAGCTTTGCACAACTTTAAATGAGCATGTGCTCTATAGATAAGCAACTGTGGCAAAGTTCTGGCTGTTTCCCATGGGTCCTGCGCTCCTTAGGTGGTGATTATATGTCTCAGAGGCTCACTGTGACCCTCTACACATGAACCCATTCTGGGCAAAGAGCCAAGATAGCAGTGGATCCAGTGCAAAGGCTGGGGCAAAGTTGCCAAGGGGGAGGGAAAAAAACTGCCCCTTTAAAAGGAGCCCCGGATTGCGTTCAGTCGAGGGGCGGGAAAAAGAAAGCTCTGCCCCTTTAAGAAAATGCATTTAAACGTGTTTTAAGGCTTTTTGGCCACAGCAGGCTCCCGACTCCATTTTTCATTCTATATCTTTCATGGCCGCGCTGGACAGCTCCCCTGCCCAGGTCAGCACAGGGGGCCAGGAGAGGACCATTTTGGGAGGAGGAGGGATGGCTTACGAGCCACAGGAGGGAAGGGGGCTTTGCGAGCCGCACCCGGGAG